GCCGCCGCCGCCGGCGGAAAGCGAGGTGACCAAGGCCAGCGGGGAGGTCTGAGCCGCCGAGGCCGCCGCCGCCTTCGGGGGATCCACCGCCAGAAGCGCGTCGATCCGGAAATTCTTGGACTTCTCCATTGGGGGGGAGGGGGAGGGCTTCGCGATCACAGGCGATCCCGCTTGACGCCGGATTAAAAATCAAAGCCGGAGCCGAGGACCGGCGCCTTCGCTTGCTGCAGCGCCATCCTCATCCTCATCATCATCATCATCATCATCATGAGGATCAGCAGAAGGGGGACCCCAGAGCAGGGGGCCCCGGCCCAGCATTCGGGGGCCCCCAAAAGGGCACCAGCCGCCCGCGCGCCTCAACCCAAGCCTTCGGTACCTCCCGGAGCCCGAGAGGAGTCCCGGTCGCGCCGCCTTTCTGCCCGCCGGACACTCCCGGGCTCGGCCTGCGAACTCGGCTCACTTGAAGGCTCCCGAGCGGCTCCCATTGGCCCTCCGGGGAGGCACGACGCCATTGGTGGCCGGAGCCGGGCTCCCTCGCCTGCTATTGGGTGCGGCGCACACCTGTCAACGTTCTCGGAATGTTGGCCCTGCCCACCTGGAGATTCTTGCTGCTTTCGGAGGGGCCGGCCCGCGACTCTCGGCCGAAAGGAGGGAGGGGAGCCTTCGCGGGACACACGCGCGTCAGCCTCCGACTTAGGCAGAACGCCTCGTCAGGCGGCTTTGCTAAGCCGCTGCCTTCCACACCGTGCAACAAAGGACGCGACAAAGCTAGGCTTCCTCCGAAAATTTGGAATCGGGAGAATTAGAGATTTTTTTTAATGGTTCTAACGGAAGAAGCAACTTCCCCCCGTCCTCACTTATTGTGAAGAAGAAAATGCAGTTGCAATTAGTCATCCCGGGCGAAGGGTTGCAAACACCTACTCAACGAATGGAGGCAGGAGGGAACATCTCTCTTCCCCTTATAGATACTATCTGCCAGGGGCTGAACTCACAAACGTCCCTTTTACACAACCTATCATTTGCACTGAAATGAACTTTCGGGTACCTTTCTAGTGTTTCACATTTATTCTATAGTTCGCGGAGTAACAGATCTGTTGTTAGAAGAAATGGGCTGTATCAGGTCTGACACTCGGGTTTTTTTAAGGTGCAATTAAGGATTTTATTTTATTTTGGTGTCGCCTTGTTCTTTCGCATCTTTCTTTCCAGTGACGTTTGGAGAATGGCCGGAGGTCAACTCCTGAATGATAGTTCTAGTTAGGAGCTGAAAGGATGACAAATGTATACATCCAACCTCTTGCTTTAGACGAGGATGGGGCTTCTCCAGAAGACTTTGCCCAAAAATCTCTCACTCTCGCTGTGCGGGAGATCTCGTCCTAGATATTGACTTAAGGCGTCGTGAACTGGCCTACAAAAAAACTCCTAACGGGGTGAATGGACGAAGGGCCGCTAAGGCAACGTTGCCGGTTGTCTTATAGAGCGAAACCTCGCGATTCTCCTCCGCTAAGATATAATACAGGAGCCCAGTAAACAAAAATACCAGCATAATAGCAAAAGAATACAGAATGGGAAGGGCCAAAAGGGTTGTCCATACGATTAGAATGGAAAGGTTGCGTTTTGATCGCGGGTTATCTGTCCTTGAGTGACGGTTTTTAGGCAGATTGTCCCCGCTTACCACGCTTTCCTTAGACTGCCCTGTCCGGGATCCAGTTTAATCCCACCCATGTTGGACTTGGAAGTGCCTTTGTTTTGTGCCGTCAAGTCGGATTCGATTTATAGGGACCCTAATAAGGCTTTCAAGGTAAGTGAGGTATTTGAGAAGTGGTTTTACCTGCTCCATTCCGCTCCCTCCCCCCCCCGTGAGTTTTCAAGGCTGAGCAGGGATTCGAATCCTCTTCTCCAGAGTCTTAGTCCACTACACCCTTCTGGGTATACTTGGAAGTAAGCCCTATTCAATCAAGTGAATTTGCTTTTCTGCAAATGCCTCACTTCGCATCCTCTCCAAGCATGGGCCCTTCTCGCGCCCATTGCCCTAGAGAAGAGCTAATTAATTATAAAGGGGTTTAAACCATCAAATTATCTGCAGGTAGCCTTGCAGTCAGGTTTTCTCTGAAACCCTGCCACCCATTTCCGCGGCATTTAATTCTTCCAGGCTAGTTTATGATTTACAGGAGACAAAGGACTGGCCTGGCTTTAAACAAAAATGGGAACGAAAAGCATAACTCCCCTCCCCACCGCCCCTTTCTCTCACACACAGAGGACAGTGTTCTTCCCAGACCGTTGGGTTCCACATTCAAAGAGATATATTCCTACATACACGCCCCAAATGCGAATTTTCTCTCTCTTGCGTCCTGGTGGGGTTCTGTCCGCGCAGCCTAATTTATCCGAGGCAGGAAGCCGCGTTCCCAGTTTCTCCTTCGATTTCTGGGCACCTGAAATTAAAGATCTACCGCCTCTGTGGTGCCAAGAGCCTTTCTTTCTCTCTCCCCCCCCCTTTCTCTTTTTTCCTTCTTTAATGAGCTGGAAAGAATCAACACGCCGGGGTCAGGAAGCCAGCTCCGCCAACACCGTAAAGTTTAGTCAATTGTGTTATTAAACCCACTTATCTTACACAAACACGGCTAAATTTAGAGGGAGCGAGAAAGCCCGGCCAGCGAGAGTTGGAAAGCGCTGGAAGCCACCCGCGCGTCTCTCTCTCTCTCTTTTTTAAATTCCCCCTCCCCGTGAAGGTGAGGAGGGAGGCGAGGAACCGCACCATCGCCGGCGGGAATGTGAACGGAAGGTCAGGTCGAGACCAGGTTGACAAAGGGAGCAAACATCGGGCCGTGGGTGGGGGGGTGCCTTGCCCT